ACTGAGTCTCTCTCTTGGATGACCCTATGCCCCAAGGTTCCCAGAGGCAGAGGGAAACCTGCCACTGCAGCTAGCCCTGTTGGGCTACTGAAAGACATCGAGCAGGTTCCATTTACTCCTTTTGGACTCAGCACTCCCGAGATGGCCTGCAGCCCTTGTGGGTTCTAGGGTTAGGATTCTGAGCTCTCTCTGCCACAAGCTACCTTCCTTCGACTAGTCAAACAGTGGCAGAACCTGGGCAACTGGAGGTAGTGTTCCGAACTTCCATCTGAACTTCACAAAAGCTTAAAAAGGGATTTTAGCAGCAAAAGATCGGAGACAAGCACGACTTCTTGTTAGCAGCATTTTCTTGGGTGGTCTCTGTTTTGCTGGAGACAAGCAAAGACCTGAGTGGTTCCTTTAAGAGAGATTTCCTGACTCAGCAAAATTGGAAAAAACCGAAAGACTCTTTTTAAGAGGCCCTGCTAGCTCAGTCAACAGAGCATGAGACTTTTGATGTGGGTTCATGCCTGATGCGGCTGGCAATGACAATGACCACATCTCCAAGCTGATGCCATGCTCCTTGAAAAAAAAGAAAGCCGCCACTTTGATTTTGGCGGTGTTGTTTAACAGTTAAAAGACTGGTGGCCAGAAAAAGGTAAAGATTTACAATAAAGACAGATCCAGATGAAGTAAAACTTCTAAAGATTTACACTGTGTTTAAAAATATATGTAGGCTTGTGAGAGAAAAAGTAACAGGAGGAAATAGAGTAGCTGGGTGTGGTGGCACACACCTTTAATCCCAGCACTCCAAAAGCAGAGGCAGTCGGCTTTCCACAGAGAAACAGTTTCAGAAAAAAGGAAGTAAAAGTAGAATAATAGAAAAACAACCTAAAAATGAAAAATACAGACAGTCTGGATACTATATGTAATATTGTTATCTTTAAATTGTTTGATGCTAAGGAATGAGTTACTGCTGCTAAAATACATTTGATTATAAGTGCTGCTAAATTAATCCAATTTATATATTTTAAAAATGCTTTGACTTCAAAATTTAAGTCTAAGGACAGGCTACTTGGGAAAAAGTTTTTGCTGGTTTTTCCACAGAAAACAAAAAGCTGTGGATTCCTTCCAGACTAATATGGTTTGATCAAGCAAGACTCCCTGAAGCAGTGACCCAACTGATCTCCTACAGCCAAAACAGCTGAGATGATACAACCTTACAGACAACAAAAACAAGAACTTGGTCAGATTTCTGTGTTTTATCATGATCCCCATGGTATGGACTTCGCCCCCAATCAGCAGGAAGAAGTTTGGAATGAACGACACCCAAATTCCCAACTATTGTTTATAAATGTTTGCTTTCATTTAAATGGGGTTAGTTATAAATAATAATAAGCATAGTCAATCTCTTTTTAAAGGAAAAAACGGGGAATAGGATATAGGAATGAATACTTTGCATCGATATGGATTTTCATTTATTGATACAACTTTAAGGTCAATTTTGTTATATGTACATGTCTCCTCTTGTTTAGGTATTGTGTTTATACAGATCTTTTAAAATGATATATATAATTAAACACAGGTTATTTAGTCACCTATAATAGTCAGAACTTATAATTAGGTTAGTTAGGTTTTCTAGATATACAGAGTTGTATTTGAGATGGATAGGTATTCTTCAAACTTTTCAAAGGCCTACAGAATATATGGCATTTAAATGGTTTAGGGTTTTTCTTGGCAGTGAGACACAACTGCTCCTGGCACACCAATTAGGCCAAAAAGGAGGATGGGCATCAAAGAAACTCATTATGGAGTTTGCATTCAACTTGGCAAGATTAGCCATTTGGGCAAGAAACTGCTCTTGCCTGGACTGTTTGTTGCCATATAAACTGGATTGACTCTAATTCCAGATGTATTGTGCTTGATGGGATGAGCTTGGACAAATGCTATTCAATATTTTAAAGCATGAGGTGTTTTTTTTATTCAAGAAAAGCACTAAAATATAACCAATTACTTTGTTTGTAGTATATATGAAAAGCCTCAAATACTGCCTGGCAGATACAATGTTTAATTATATTTGTTTTATTTTGCAAACATGTTTGGTGACTAAATATTGTGGTTTAAATCAGTCCATTGATTTCCTACCTCATGAATTACTTGAACACAGCATCACTATCTTTTACATATGCTATGAACGTATCAATATGTAGTGCCAGCTTTTGTTGTTTTAATCACACAAAAAACAGTGATCATAGCAGAAAACTTTTGTTAATGATTATATTTAATAATTGGAATACAATATTGGTGAACAAATAAGGAATTACCAAAAAATAAAGACCATAGGAATTTCACCACAAAGAACATCATTTTAAACTAGATGCTAGCAAGCCCCCAGAATACAAATAGTCTACTTCATAGAATGAGAGTAAAACTGTACATACCAAATATGAAATACAATTAGACCATCCACTCTGTGTGAATGACTGTTCATGAATACTATCTTAAATATCTAAAGTCAGATAAAAAACACCACCTACCAATGTAAAGTTAAACTACCCAATAACAGTGTTATTGAAAACAGGATTCATATCTGGGAACTTCCTGAGATTCATGCTGATTGTGCCTTGGGATCAAGAAATTTGACAACAGTAAAGTGAAGATGACCTTATATATACTAAATTTTATCCTTTAAATTTACTGGATATTTCAAAAACTGTCACATTCATGAACAATCTTAAAAGTTCAAATTGGTCCCAGTTCATTAGATAGTAGAAGTAAATTTTATCAGAATATTTCTTTTCAAAATAATTTGATTCAAATGGCCTAATTCAGTAACATTGTTTATTTCTGTCATTTTTCTACTTTCTCTGTACCCTTAGTTTTGGAGAATTGTAATATCCAGTGGAAATAAATTGTCCAGGGGAGAAGATTGTCTCACAACATTACAGAATCATCTCTTCTTCATGGTTCTTTTAATCACATTTAAAATGAAAAATACAGACAGTCTGGATACTATATGTAATATTGTTATCTTTAAATTGTTTGATGCTAAGGAATGAGTTACTGCTGCTAAAATACATTTGATTATAAGTGCTGCTAAATTAATCCAATTTATATATTTTAAAAATGCTTTGACTTCAAAATTTAAGTCTAAGGACAGGCTACTTGGGAAAAAGTTTTTGCTGGTTTTTCCACAGAAAACAAAAAGCTGTGGATTCCTTCCAGACTAATATGGTTTGATCAAGCAAGACTCCCTGAAGCAGTGACCCAACTGATCTCCTACAGCCAAAACAGCTGAGATGATACAACCTTACAGACAACAAAAACAAGAACTTGGTCAGATTTCTGTGTTTTATCATGATCCCCATGGTATGGACTTCGCCCCCAATCAGCAGGAAGAAGTTTGGAATGAACGACACCCAAATTCCCAACTATTGTTTATAAATGTTTGCTTTCATTTAAATGGGGTTAGTTATAAATAATAATAAGCATAGTCAATCTCTTTTTAAAGGAAAAAACGGGGAATAGGATATAGGAATGAATACTTTGCATCGATATGGATTTTCATTTATTGATACAACTTTAAGGTCAATTTTGTTATATGTACATGTCTCCTCTTGTTTAGGTATTGTGTTTATACAGATCTTTTAAAATGATATATATAATTAAACACAGGTTATTTAGTCACCTATAATAGTCAGAACTTATAATTAGGTTAGTTAGGTTTTCTAGATATACAGAGTTGTATTTGAGATGGATAGGTATTCTTCAAACTTTTCAAAGGCCTACAGAATATATGGCATTTAAATGGTTTAGGGTTTTTCTTGGCAGTGAGACACAACTGCTCCTGGCACACCAATTAGGCCAAAAAGGAGGATGGGCATCAAAGAAACTCATTATGGAGTTTGCATTCAACTTGGCAAGATTAGCCATTTGGGCAAGAAACTGCTCTTGCCTGGACTGTTTGTTGCCATATAAACTGGACATGCAGGACCCACAAGAAAGTGACTGCTGAGCTTGCAAAACAAGACAGTACTGAAGGGTTCCTGTTGAAATGGAGAAGTGTGCCAGACACACTATGGCCTATGGGCTGAAGATGGATGCCCCAATGTTACAGAGGAACTTTGGGTGACTGTCCAGGTAGCGAGATGTCTCCGTCAATTCTAGAGTTTATATTATCCTTCTGTGGTCTTTGATAGAGTTGAAGACAGATAGTTATGGTTATAGTTTTCTTCAGTTATTATAAAGGATAAGTTATCTTTCTTTGTACCTGTAGAAGTCTCTATGTGTTATTTGGGGTCCTAATTCGGCAGGCAGAACTTGGGAGGCTGGTGGAAAGTGTGCCCACATGGCGGTAGGGCTCAGGGGGCTTTTGGCAGAAAGATTTATCGCAACAGGTTGTGGTCTCAGTGTCCTGGATTGAAGACCCTGCACCTCCAAGGGCAGAAGACCACAGCGATTATTTACTATCATTGTGTGAGTGCTCCCCATATGCACAAACACATGGGGAAAGGGCAGCGTTGACTCTAATTCCAGATGTATTGTGCTTGATGGGATGAGCTTGGACAAATGCTATTCAATATTTTAAAGCATGAGGTGTTTTTTTTATTCAAGAAAAGCACTAAAATATAACCAATTACTTTGTTTGTAGTATATATGAAAAGCCTCAAATACTGCCTGGCAGATACAATGTTTAATTATATTTGTTTTATTTTGCAAACATGTTTGGTGACTAAATATTGTGGTTTAAATCAGTCCATTGATTTCCTACCTCATGAATTACTTGAACACAGCATCACTATCTTTTACATATGCTATGAACGTATCAATATGTAGTGCCAGCTTTTGTTGTTTTAATCACACAAAAAACAGTGATCATAGCAGAAAACTTTTGTTAATGATTATATTTAATAATTGGAATACAATATTGGTGAACAAATAAGGAATTACCAAAAAATAAAGACCATAGGAATTTCACCACAAAGAACATCATTTTAAACTAGATGCTAGCAAGCCCCCAGAATACAAATAGTCTACTTCATAGAATGAGAGTAAAACTGTACATACCAAATATGAAATACAATTAGACCATCCACTCTGTGTGAATGACTGTTCATGAATACTATCTTAAATATCTAAAGTCAGATAAAAAACACCACCTACCAATGTAAAGTTAAACTACCCAATAACAGTGTTATTGAAAACAGGATTCATATCTGGGAACTTCCTGAGATTCATGCTGATTGTGCCTTGGGATCAAGAAATTTGACAACAGTAAAGTGAAGATGACCTTATATATACTAAATTTTATCCTTTAAATTTACTGGATATTTCAAAAACTGTCACATTCATGAACAATCTTAAAAGTTCAAATTGGTCCCAGTTCATTAGATAGTAGAAGTAAATTTTATCAGAATATTTCTTTTCAAAATAATTTGATTCAAATGGCCTAATTCAGTAACATTGTTTATTTCTGTCATTTTTCTACTTTCTCTGTACCCTTAGTTTTGGAGAATTGTAATATCCAGTGGAAATAAATTGTCCAGGGGAGAAGATTGTCTCACAACATTACAGAATCATCTCTTCTTCATGGTTCTTTTAATCACATTTATTACTTCCTTATTTCTCAAACTATAAATAAAAGGGTTTAATAAAGGAATTACTAGAGTATAAAAAATAGCAACAGGTATGTCTTCATCCCCTTTGTTGAATGAACTTGGTCGAATATACATGTAGAGAAGAGACCCATAGAATATTGACACAGACAGAAAGTGGGAAGCACAAGTAGATAAGGCTTTGATTCTTCCCTCGTTAGATTTCATTGTGAATATAGTGAAAAGGATATAGAAATAAGATATCAGGACTATAGTAATGGAAAAGATTTGAACTGATCCTGAAAAGATGAGTATCATCAATTCATTGAGATAAGGGTCAACACAGGAGAGTCTATATAATGGAAGGACATCACAAAAAAAGTGCTTGATTACATTAGACCTGCAGAAAGTTAACCTGAACAAGAACCCTATGTGAATCATGGAATGCAGGTTTCCTCCTGTGTAGGCTCCTGCGGTCATCTGAAGGCAGAGCTTCTTGGACATCATGGTGTGGTACTGCAGTGGGTTGCATATGGCCACATAGCGGTCATAGGCCATTGCTGCCAGGAGGAAGCAGTCTGCAGTTTCAGCAAGACAGAGAAAATAGAACTGTGCCATGCATTCATAGAGAGAAATCCTTCTGTCCACAGAAAAGAAGTTCTGTAGCATCTTGGGAGTGATGGCGCAGGAGCAGCAGGAATCCATGAGAGCCAGGTTGCCCAGAAAGATGTACATGGGTGTGTGGAGACGGCGCTCCATGTAGATCAAGGCCACCAGCCCGAGATTCCCCACCATGGTGACCAGATAGATAACAAAGAACACCACGAACAGGAGGGTCTTCAGGTCTGGGTGATCTGAGAATCCCACCAGGATGAACTCTGTTGTCAAGGAGTAGTTGTCCTCAGTCATCTTCAGCTTCTCTGTTGACAAGTGAGAAAGATGGAAGAGTGCAACTGTGAGCCAATCATTTTCCACATTATCATTATTAATTTTACAGCAGAGTAATTTCTTATACAACCATCATCTGCTGTACCTTGAATATAGCTCCTGTACTTTGGTGTTTCTTTTATTCTTAGAGTCAACATCACCAAATGATATGACAGACTTTAAAGATCCCCCATGGAAGGCCTCACCCCCTCCCTGGGGAGCAGAAAGGGGTTGTGTTAGGGGTCAGTGGAGGGCAGGGGAATAGGGAAGGGAGAGGGAACTAGGATTGACATGTAAAAGAAGCTTGTTTCTAATTTAAAATTGGTCTAGTTACAATTGTAAAAATAAAAATTAGATTCTTCCAGATAAATAAATTTGAGTTCAGCAAAAAAAGAAATAGAAAATAGATATTTGTCAAATTAATGCCAAAGATGTTGAACATTAATCACAGCAAAATGCAAATGAAGTCATTGATTAGCCACAGGACTCCAGTAATAGTAACTAATACCAAAAACTAAAGATAAAAAAGGAGTCAATGTCTTTGAAATTTATAGGAATGTTTTTAATAATCTTTGATGATACTTAAAGTGGAATAGTATTCCATTTCTCCTTGTGTATAAAGATATCATGGAAAGTCAGTATACCCAGATTTGTTTCATTGCCCTCAAATAATTCCATTGTTCATTTTTTGAGTTCCTTAAAACACATTTAAATCAATTTTCATGCAATATGAGAAATTTGTTATTGTATGTTGTTTTAGAAGAGGGAAGTTTAAAAAAGGGTTGTAGAAGCATGAGATAAAGTTCACTTAATAGAATTGAGTGCTTACCATGCATGAAGCTGTGGATACCACCTTCAGTGCCTCACAAGCAAGGAATGTTGTTGTGTGCTTCTCATTGCAGCACTCATGAGATGGAGGCAGGGAATCAGAAGTTCGAGGTCATCCTTAGCCACACAGTGAGTGAATGATGGTCTGGAATACATGAGATCATGTGTCAGAATAAGTAAATAATAAAATATCTATCAATTAGTAATATCACAAGAGACAGAGGGCTTTGTGGGAATAAAATCAGCTCAGAATGAAGAAATATCTGTTCCTAAATTATCAGTCTGATTTTCTTTCAAACAATAAACCTGCCTATGGTATTATTCCAAGATATGTGTTTCCTCTTCCTCTTTCTCCTCTTCTTCCTTCTTGTAAGGGACATTTTACAAGGAACACTGCTCAATAAAAGTTTGATTTAGTTTAAAAGACCTAAGTGATCTTATTTTCTGTATTATGCTACATATCACCATAGTGCAACAAATTTCTCCAAATCTGGTGCATAATTTTCACTGCTTTATTTTTGTAAATATGTTTTTTTTTCTGACTCCACTTCAAACATTCTGGGGGTTATTTGTTACATGTTTCTGTGAAAGGAAATATAATTGGCAGTGGGAACAAGGAGAACTAATTCCAATCCTGGATCCATAGCCTAGGATCAGACCTTGCTTCTGTATCCTCATCATGATCTGGAGTGAATTCTGCTTTGTAAATATGATCATTGCCTTAAGAAGAGTCTATAAGGAAAATTGCAAAACTGCCTTCATAAGATAGAGGTATCTTCCTTTATATTTCTTCCTTGTTCCTCATAAAATTATGCATTTTTTCTAGAAAATAAGCTAGTAATACAAACTTATCATTAAACTTCAGTTTTTAATACTTAGCTAGAAAAAATAAATTCTAAGAGAATTTAGGAAAATAAATTTTGTTTTGCTTTAAAAGTCTGTTCAGGTGTTTAATATTTCACTAGAATATACTGACTAATCAAGCTAACTTGATGGTCAAAATGGGTTTGATTTTCCATAAACAAATCATTAAGAGGTATTAAGTAGAAATTTCATTGCTGTAATAACTAATGCAATTCATATAGTTAAGTGAAGCAGAAATAAGTTTCAATGTATGTATGAATGAATATTTATGATCTTTCCTATATAGGCTGAATTTATCCTACTGGAAAGTCACATTAATTACTGTTCTATGCCTTATTCTTCTTTCAGATGCCATTCAGGTATGAGAAGAGCTAAGAATACAATGAAGAAGCTTAAATCTATAACATAAAAGTAGTAAGATTTCAAAGAAGTAAATCTGTTTTATGACAAAACCCCCAAACTATCCACTCAGTAATAAGTGTTAGAATAACTCCTTTACCTTTAGTTTACCAAGGAGTTTTTCATAGTAAAGCATTGGCTTTGCAGTGGAAGTCTCAGCATTGTGTTCAGAGAGTGAAAATCAGAGGTGATCTAAGATCAGTGCTACTTATGTCCACGCCACAGCATAGTTAAAGTGTTCCATGCAATCCTAAAGGAATTTCCCTGTACTGCAGACCATTCCCTTGAGATATTAACCCTTGAACCATACAAACCACTTGAATGTACTCAGCAATATCCTGTGAGTCAGTGGTGATAACAGCAAATGACCCTTGCTCAAGTTTGTTTGAAGATAATTCTGCAGATTTGTAACTGACTGACTTGAATTTCATGTTTTCCCAAATGTGTACATAGAATGTCAAACAGTATGTATAATGTAAAAATGTACTCCATTGGAGAAAAGTGATTTTTCCCTCCCAGTAGGTATTAATTTGCAAATAGATTCTTGTTTAGGGGTGGGCATTGTGCTCACTTCCCTTTTCAGTCTAGGCATTTTGTCTGGTTTGAACCTGTGCAGGTCTTGTGCATGCCACCATTCTCCTCTCCTCTCCTCTCCTCTCTCTCTCTCTCTCTCTCTCTCTCTCTCTCTCTCTCTCTGTGTTGTGTGAGTTCATATGTGCATTGATATTGTTATATTTGGAAGACAGCTGTTTCCATGGAGTCATCCACCTCCCGAACTTGCTCCTGTCTGCATTTCTTAAACAGATCAGAACACATGGAAAGAAGGATAATTGATTATTTAAAAATATATCCCAGTTACTGCCCATTTACTTGACTTTCTATGTCCCACTACTTAGCATACATTTCTCAGCTTTGTTCTCCCAGTAAGTCTCACTTTCTGTTGGGCAGGTGAACGTAGAATTCCCCGTGTTATTATATTCCTAGTCTTTCAACCACATTACCACTTTATACAGTTCAGGCTGCACAGGACCTGAAATCAAAGCACATCTGGATGAAATGGAGTGGCTCCAGTGGGCCACACCCCCTACATTTTGGGAAATGATGCAGTTTGTCATTTATCAAGTGCATAGCACATGGCCTCACACACTGAACCCACCTGGCTTTCAGACAAGCATGGAAGAATTGGGTGATGGAACATGCCAGTTTTGGTCTAGACATGTGACTCTGCTATCGGAAGCTGATATTGGCACAGTAAGTGGAAGTAAATTTATGGACAGAAGTAATAATGCCAATATCTAATATCTACTGTCCATTGACCATGTAAATAATTTTCAAAAGGAAAATTTTTACTATAAAATCATTTTTCAAATATTAATAGGAAAACAAAACATGAGGAAATATGTAAAGCATACATGTTATTAACAGAAAAATTAATTAAAATTTAAACAGGATATATGAAATATACATATTGGATGGCTACAAGTTACTCCTAGCATTTTGATATATCTTTTTTTTGTGGTACCTGGCACCATTATTTTTTTAAATTAGCTTCTCAATCATCTGGAAGGAAACCATTCTGAGCAACATCATTAAAAACAGGTCTGATAAAGCACAGTCACTACTATGTATCATAAAGCAGGTCCACATATGAGTGAGTACATATCATGTTTGTCTTTTTATGATTGGGTTACCTGCTCAGAATGGTTTTTCGAGTTCCAACCAATTTCCTGCAAATTTCAAGATTCCATTGTTTTTTTCTGCTGAGTAGTACTCCATTGTGTAAATGTACCACATTTTCTGTATCCATTATTCAGCTGAGGGGCATCTAGGCTGCTTCCAGTTTCTGGCTATTACAAATAATGCTGCTATGAACATGCTTGAACAGATGTCCTTGTTATATGAATGTGCTTCTTTTGGGTATATGCCTAGGAGTGGAATTGCTGGATCTTGTGGTAGACT